GAGATTTTAGGTATATAGTATCGTGTTCATCAAACACAAATTGAACCCCTTCGGAAATGAGGTTTATTTTTACTCCATCTTTAGTGATCTTAACCGGACCCATCGGTCGAATTGCGCTAGCGTTAGGTTTAATGAACGAATCACCATACGATATAATTCTACCGAATTGGTCAATGTTAACATTAATGTCACCATTGGTGACATATAAACCATTAACAACTTGTTTAAAATATACATGAGTAACGCCATTATGGTCTGATTTGTAAATATCTTTAATCACAAAGTCAGCTTTCGGGTGTAGTTTTGATTTAACAAATTTAATTGCAATCTCTTTAGGATCAGCATCATCTGGGGCGGTAAAAGTACCAAACTTTTTTATCGAAGGAGCACTAAAAGTACGATGATTTAGTTCAGGACCGAAGTTTATTCGACGGGCAGGTTCGACGCCTCTCGGTGAATCGACGTGAGCGTGTCCGGGGACGGAAGAAGCAAGGGTCAACAAGGCCCAAGCAAGAAGAGAGAATTTAACTTTCATACTACCGGTTTGGTATCACACTATATTCGGATCAATTATTATTATATTTATTAAGACAAATAAGCGAGAAGTGTATAAGGACGACGTGTCGTATTTGAAAAGTTTACATTAAACTGAAAGAATTTAACATAATATATATTATAAAAATCAATAAAAACAGGGATTTTTTCTCAAACAAACAGAAAGACAACAAAACATTCGACACCAATAGTTCGTGGTGGCAAAAAAAATAGAAAACCAGCCGATACGCTGCTATATATACATGAATAAATGAGGGATCAATTGTTGAAAGTTAAGGTGATGCATTTGAGCAGTTGAAGAAATTTCGATATAAAAGGACAGAGCGGCGAGGTCATTTGACAAGATAGATGTGCATGCACGATAAGTTCTTGTGACCATAACTTTGAAATGTGTCCCTTATCGTGCCCGATATTACTAAATAAGACATAAGCAACAATACACAAAGAAACGTGCTTTCCTTTCTCAGCGGATTTATCATAAAAGGATGTTGAAAATGAAACACAAATAGAGAGAGTTACATAATGACCGAGCAAATTATGGAAGTTACAATCTTACAAAACCCGAGGTACGTACGTAAAAATTGATTATATATTGCTAGTTTCATTTGTTTTAATGAACTAATATTTTTGAGAATAGTCTACATGTATAGTCTTATTTCAAGCATTCACGCGATAAGATTACACAACAAACACAATGTATCTTGATTTTCCGCATTTTAGTTGTTTTAGTTCAGTGTGAGAAAAGATTTTATAAGCAGATATGACGAGATTTCAACTCCTTAACATGCAATCGGTACTGGTGACAATACATTACCAAATACTGGATTCTTGGATACTATGCATAAACATATTAAATAATCAAGCCACTTGGTGTCAGCTGGTAAGGTTTGATTTGTATCTTTAGTAATTTTTTTTGATATCTATTCAAGTTGAGCACTTGGATCGCGGTTTGTATAAATAACTTTGTTATCCTTTTGAATGTCATAATGTGATACAAAATGAATGATTTCACTATTTCGTAAATTCCCGAATATAAATTCGTGAATGAACGACCTGTTTTATTGAGTACATGCGCATGCGGCTATATATATATTCCTAAATAGTCGATAATGATATAAGCACGCATATTGCAGTATTGTACACGTGATAACCGTACATAGATGTGTTTTTTATTTTTCGTCCTCGTGCAACTGGCCGCTGGATTTAATATACCCAATTTCAGTGTCTCATAGATGGCGTAATACATTCTAATATCCTTCGAAACGAATTTTTGAACTTAAATCATTTAGCATGCATCAAAGAACCGATTGGCTACACTGAAGATTCGTCATTCACGCCAAGAATTTCGTTCTTTAACAATGACGCGTCTAATTCACACTTGCACAGTAATATATTAGAATTAATAATACACATACACATATATTTGTAAAAATACTTGAATTTTTCGAGAATTCAGTATCGAATTGGCTGAAGAATTATATTTGAATATGTCAATCACATGAATACAATTCTATTTGATATATGATACAAAGACTTAACATTAAGCGATCACCGGTAAAGATTTAACTATCATTGCAAAAAGAATCTCGACGCAATTATTTTTGATATATTCCGTTGATTTAATATATATATTTAATGATATCAAGTTTAAAATAATTCATTTTTCATTATATAAGCTTATATCGTTTTTACCACATGCAAGCATGATCATCGGCGGAATAACACTAATAATGGAATGTGTGATGTAATTAAATAGTAATTTGTTACTTTTATAATTTTAATTATCAATTTCAGCAAAAAAATTCGCCATCTCGTCATAAATCAGAAAATTTATTATCGCGTCATAACAATAAGTTATTTCGATTATTTGCTATCAAACTGGCTAAAATTTAATTATAGAAATAACACTATCAATATTATTCAATTACTTACAGAAAAGTGGTGAAAACCGGATTTAAACGTGATACTTTTAAATTTAATGTTTTGTTGAGGTTATATGAATAAGAAACTCTTAAAATTTTTATATCAGTTACACGATATGTTACAACTAAATTTTTTTTTTTTTTTAATATTAATGGTGAGACCAACAACTAAATTTTTTATATATAAAATTATAACAAAAACATATAGAATTACTTATAAACTTTGAAGCTATAATGTTTCTTCTCTTATATATTAACTTTAATTAAATTTTATAAATAAATATATCAAAGAAGAAGAATAAGATGTTTTTTTAAATTGAATTAAAATTTTGCAATTTTAATATAATTTGAAAATGTAATTCTGTCAAAAGAATATATTTAACAGTTTTAAAGCTATAATTATATATCAGTCAGTTCAGATATCACGCAGATCATTTGTATAAATTTTTAATAGTAAATCAAATGATTGACGCACCCAAATTTTATAAGTAAAATTTAGGCAAATTTTGCTTTCTAGGCTTATTTAACAGTAAAGAAGTTGTCAGTTTAATTTCTAGGTATCATTTCACAAATTCTCTGACATTTGAAGGTTCTTCTCATGAAATTTTAAGGGTGGTTAAAAATAAAACCCAAAAGAATCTTAATTACGAAGTTAGCCAATTTTTTGATGATTTTTACTATTTGCTTATAAGTGATGTATGTTGTTTATCCAAAAATTCCCAAAAAAGAGAATGATTAACAGTCAATTACATAAATTTAATTAACTATTTATCATTATTTTTTTGGGGTATTTTTGGGTAAACAACATGCATCACTTATAAGCAAATAGTAAAAATCATCAAAAAATTAGCTAACTTCGTGGTCAAGATTCTTTTAGGTTTTATTTTTAACCACCCTTAAAATTTCATGGGAAGAATCTTCAAATGTCAGAAAATTTGTGAAATGATACCTAGAAATTAAACTGACAAATTCTTTACTGTTAAATAAGCCTAGAAAGCAAAATTTGCCTAAATTTTACTTATAAAATTTGGGTGTATCAATCATTTGATCTACTATTAAAAATTTCAACATGTGACATCTGTACTAACTGATATAAAATTATATTCTGAACAACTTTAATTAGGAAGCTAAAAATATAATTGATTAACTCTTTTTACTGATTATCAAAACACAAATTTACAGAAACAAAAATTAATTAATTGGTGATTTATCACTCAATCAGAAAGAGCTCATAGTATAATATGATACAGTTTATATATAGAAATTAGGTTTTTAAAATATAAGTTATTTTTATCTAAAATTTTGAACCTTTAATTAAAGTTGTAAAGCTTGTCAAGACAAATTTAATGATAGTTGAATTATCAAAATTAGCTTGGTGAATTATGAGATATCTTCAAAAAATATTTTGTTAATTATATAAATTTTTTTTTAACAATAGTATTGTTGAAAGAGAAGTTTATATAGTTGATAAAATGTTTTTCAAAAATATCTTGTAATTTATCAGACTGATTTTGATAATATAACTATCATCAGATTTATCTCAATAAGTTCTACAACTTTAATTAGAGGTTCAAAGATGATTAATTTAGTATAAAAAAAAATTTAGATAGAAACAACTTATATTCTAAAAATCTTAATTTTTATATATAAATTGTATCACATTATACTATGAACTCTCTTTGGTTAAATGATAAATTACTAATTAAAATTATAAAAAAATACACAAAAATTACTAAGAAATCAAACTTAGAGCTTTAAAAAAAAAGAAAAAAAACTACAAAAAATACTTAGTTTTTTAAAAAACTTAAGTAAGAAGAGCAAAAATAAAAAAGAGATAAAAGAAAATATAAAAAATCATTGATATTTTTTTATATTTTGCAAAATTTTAAGAAATTGGCCTTGACTTTGTAATACAGATCTGTTTTGGTAATACAAAAATTACAATATATAATAAAGAATAAATAAAAAAATATTAAAAATTATATGACAAATAAAAACAAAAGAGATAAATAAAGACAACAAATAATAACAATAATAATTAACAATAATAAAAAAATAGCAAGTTACATATAATTTTTGATAACAATTAATAGAAAAAAGTTTAAGAAACAAGAAAAAGTTAAAGTACAAACAGAAGACTATATAGACAAACAAATACAACAAATAATAGTATCAAAGATTAATAAAAAAATAGCAATTTATATAGAACAAATATTAATAAAATATGTTGAGAAAAAACTTATTACAGAAAAAAAAGCTAAGGCATAAATAGAAGAACTTTATAAAAAATAATAGCAGTATAATAAAGAAGAACTTGAGTATACAGAACTTGTACTTAAAGAAAAAAACTACTATTATTATCATATAGCAATACAAAAAAAGAGAAAATCTAGTTAAAAACATTATACACAGAGAAATAAACAGTATTATGGCTTAATTAGATATAGCTAACAGAATAATATAAATACTAGAAAATAGGAAAAAACAAGCTACTAAAATAAAATCAAAATTAGATTCAGATTGAAGTAAGAGACTTCAAGAATAAAGAAAGAATTAACAAAAACAGTATAATAAAATAGCTCTAAAGACTATGATATATCAATTTAAAGAATCTGTCAAAGCTATTGTAGTAAACTAGCATAAAATAAAAAAGAAAATTAAAAAAAAAAATACAAGTTTGCTGTAAGGAAAAACAAGCTACTAAAATAATATCAAAATTAAAAATAGATTGAAATAAGAGACTTCAAAAACAAAGAAAAACTCGACAAAAACAGTATATAAAATAATATTGAAGATATTATTACAACAACTTAAAGAATCTGTCAAAGCTGCAGCAAACTAGTATGAAAGAAAAAAAAACTAAAAAAGCAAAAAGAAAGAAAAACAAAAGATAAGATTCTATAGATCTTATAAAAGCAAAAGCTCTAAACAAAATTTAGGAAGAATCAAGACTAAAAATCTCATTAACAACTCTAACAGAATAAATGATAGAAATAATATATCAAACAAGTATTAAAAATTTACAAATTAA